GGCATTGCTTTACAGTGGTAAAGTGGATTATTTCTTGGCAAATTCATAATGATTCACTTTGTTTAGTAATAAATTTCATAGTTATAAAATAACTACATTTCAAGAAGTTAACACTTTCAACTATTTAGGATTATTTATTGCATCAAAAGTAATTTCAAAGTAACATTAAATGTACGTATAAACTGCTTAATTTGTGTGTGTAAACACCTAAGATGCAAAAAGCTTATTTAGACCAGAATAGGCCTACTTAATGCAACGGTCAATGTATGTAAACTTATGACCTAAAATGTCTTAAATGACTAAATTTAAGTCTTTTTAAGTTTTTAAATAATTTAAGTTTAACATAAATGATTTAAACTTTAAACTTCAAATTAACAGAGTATGGCAAATAAATTGTTTATTAAATGGAGGTCAGGTGTCTATCTTATTTATAATTATTAAATATTATGACACTATAATTCAGTGGTGTATTGGAGAGTACGCACCTTTTAATTAATTAATTTTAAATAAGTGGTTTATCCTAAATAAAATGCAATGGGATCGGTGTGCAATGAATAGTTTGAAAACCCCTGGTTCAGACTAGACGAGCTAGCTGTCTGTGCGCTGCGCTAATAACTTGGCATTTGCTCTTTTCGGTGCTGCCAGATGCATTTATAGTGCATAAAAAATAAAAAGATAATTCGGTAAAGCGCGCGATGCGCGCAGAATTAAGCGCACTATACGCATATGTCGAATTAAGTTATCTTTTTCTTTAATCAAGACTTTTCCATTCGAGGAATTAGTTATTAATAGCTTAGTCCTTACAAACGATCAGTTTATAAAATACACAATTTACGGATCAAGCCATAATGAAGAATAAGAAGAATATGCAACGCATAATCCTTGAATGATCAGAGCGCATTTATATAAACTAGCTATTTTATATAATCCATAAATATTAAAAAACATTATACATTTAAAGTAATGGAACATTATATGTTATAAAATCTAAACTATTATTTAGGCTACAGGCTGTTCAGCGCGTGCGTCAAAGAAAAGACATGACACAATCTCTATAAAAACTTGTTGTTTATTTACAATATCTAAAGGGATATAAAACATCTAACATGCATCTCCATGCAGCGAGTTTCTGTGTTCTGCATCCTTCACAGACCGAGGTCTCATTCCGAGGTAATCTGTAAATATTCTCATTTGGTTCTGGCACATTCTTGATTAAAGGTGAAACTGACCGGCGCAACGGATGATTTGTCATCTAGAGTGACTACAGTTATAATACAGGTTATGGAACTATTTCACTTTAATTTCATATTATTATTTTATTAAACAAACAAACCAGTTTTTGTTTTGGCTCTGCATGCAGCGTATTGGATCTTTGAAGCATTGCACTTCAAATGTTATTCCTTCTTTTTATTTTTATTGTATTTTTAATATTTTTAATTATACAACACAAAATTGGTTCTAAACAGATACATTTTCCTATAGGCTATGATGAAGTGTACATTTTTGTTCACACAGGTCCTATACAAAACTGTGTGGATGGATGATTTGTTTCTCCGTGAAAATCACTCATTTAATAAGCAAAACAGGCCAAAATGTTGTTTAGCTTGCGTCAAACTGGATGGACAATTTACAAACATATTGAATACAAAGGCTGGTTATTTTATGCAATGAGGGACCTATTACAAATTAAAGAAAATTATTTGCATATTAAAACGAAAATATATAATACAACAACAGATCCTACCTCAGAAATGACTTTAGATAATGTAAATAAGCATCAAGTTTTTTTTTGAGATTGTGTGTCTAATTTAGTAGTGTAGTGCGTTCGCGTGGGTTTCCTCCGGGTGCTCCGGTTTTCCCCACAGTAAAAAGACATGCGGTATGGTGAATTGGGTAGGCTAAATTGTCCATACTGTATAAGTGTGTGTGTATGTGTGGATGTTTCCCAGAGATGGGTTGTGGCTGGAAGGGCATCCGCTGCGTAAAAACTTGCTAAATAAGTTGGCGGTTCATTCCGCTGTGGCAACCCCAGATTAATAAAGGGACCAAGCCGACAAGAAAATGAATGAATAATGTGCAATACTAATTTAAAATACGTATCACTAACCTTATATGTGAAATAGCAGGGCCCGCTGTAGCACTTTCTCAAGAAGAGCAAATGTCAAATTATTAGCGCAACGCACATGTAGCGAGCTCATCTGTTTGTCGAAACTACTAGACACAATTTTTTTATCAACTATAATGTGTTTAATTGGTTAATTTGAAATTTATTTTATTATTCCAGCAATAATTGTTGAGTGAAAGAATGCGCTAGAAATATGCATTGCGGCTCCCTTTATTGTACAGGCTTATTAAACTTTTTTAGGTTCGGCTCTCGAATTAGTAAGGTTATGAGTAAATGTTATTTAAAATATTTAAAGCCTGCCATCTAGCCTACAATAACAGCAAATTTAATAATAAAAAAAATAATAAGACAGGCCTACTTTGGCGTTGCAATAAAATAGTATTAATTATCAAATAAATAATTACAATATATAATTAAAATAGGAAGAAATAAATGAAAACAAATGGTACCCTTTGTTTTTATAGCAGGGCCCAAAGTGTTCTTATTCTGGTTCTGGTAACAACTATTAAAAAGAAAAAAAACACACCAAACAATAAAAACACTAGTAACTGATAATAATAATAATAATAATAATAATAATAATAATTATTATTATTATTATAAAGCACTTGCTCTGAAACAATCATGCAAACCAGGTGCTCCTCGGAAATGGCTTTCTTTGCTCTGCATCAGGTGCACAGCAGCAAGAAGTTTGGCAGTGAACTATGACCTTATTTTAATGACAAATGTCTAAGAATACTGCTGATTTACGTTTTTATTTAATTTATACATACGTAATGAATGTAAGCCTGCTAACTGTGTGTGGTTCAAATGATAGAATATGTAAACTTTGTTTATATATATAATTAAATAATAATAATTAAAAGCCTGCGTGTAAGGCTTTTATTTTGAGGGTGACGTCACGAGCGCAGATTTGGTTAACCAATTAGAGGAAAGTGGGCGTTTCAGCACCGCCTACATGTGTAAAATGAATTTTAAAGTCGTTTATCCGTTTTCCTACCCTAAACCAAAAAACGAAAATCCAGCCAAAATCTCGTTTTTTCGTTTTCTCGTGGGCAAAAGAAAAACGGAAAAACGGCCGTTTTCTCCATTTCCTTTATTCCGTTTGAAAATGGAAAACAAATGAACAAAACGTACACGGACCGTACACGGACCATATTTTGACTCATTATTTCGTTTTGGTTTTGTGTTTGTTTTAATGTTTCGTTTTAAGTTAATAAGCAGAATAACAGATGAGTTTCCGTTTTTTCTGCCTACAGAATAAACAGAAAAACGAAATATTCATCGTTTTTCTGATGTTTCGTTTTCCGTAATAAAAGGAATAATCAAATGAACGGATGATACACGGACCCTGGGGTTTAATTATTACACTGCTCTGGGGAATATTTAATTCTAATGGGTCAATACATTCCAAGGAATCGGCTTTGGTTATGCCCAGAAGCAACAGCTGAAATCATATTCATACGTTGCTTTTGACTGATTGGCGCCAACTTGTGACTGAAAAGGGTAGATCCAATCTCCTTCTTAACAACTCTTCTTGCTGGCTAATATAGGTGCTTTTGACTGTTTGGCGCCATCTTGCACCTGAAAAATTAGTAGGTCTGGGTTTGATAAATACAGCTTGTTAACAATTCTTATTTTTGCATATTTTTTGTTGTTTTTGACTGTTTGGCATCATTGTGCGGCTATAAGTTGGTTAGCAGATGCTGAATCTCGCCGTTTGCTAACAGTTTGGCTTTCTACATATTTTTCTTTTTTTTTTTTGACTGTTTGGTGGTATTTTGCCACTTAAAAATACAATGGTTAGGGTGTATTAAATCCCGCCATTTGCTAATTCTTTTCTGCATGTATTTAGCTGTTTGTTTTGCGCCATCTTGCAACAAAAAAATCAGTAGATTAGCACTTGCTGAATCCAGCTGTTTAACCACTCTTCTTTCTGCATTTGTTTCATTGTTTTTGACTGTTTGGGGCCATCTTGTGACTGAAAAATAAGTAGGCTAGCAGATGCTGAATCCCGCCATTTGCTAACAGTTCTTCTTCCTGCAAATTTCTTCTTTTTGACTGTTTGGCACCATCTTGCGACTGAAAAATAAACATGCCGGCATATATTTTGATGGCGACTGAAAAATAAGTAGGTTAGTGTTTGATGAATCCCGCCGTTTGTTTACAATTTTTATTTCTGCATATTCTTCGCTGTTTTGACGGTTTGGCGCAATCTTGCCACTGAAAAATAAGTATGCTAGTGCATGCGCAATCTTGCCGTTTGTTAACAATTCTTCTTTCTGCATATCTTTCGCTGTTTTTGACTGCGACTGAAAAATAAGTAGGTTAGTGCATGCTGAATTCATCCGTTTGCTAACAATCCTTTGTTTCGCATGTTTCGAATGATTCCATTTAACCTTAATTTTTGTAAACTATTTCACCTCAGTCTAACGTTGTGGCTTACTCTTTAGTTTTGTGGTAAGTAAAACATATGCTCGGACGGTGTCTACACTTTGGGAACAAGTGAATTAAACCTTCCAAAACTACCATTTAGGGTCATTTGAAGACATCCTCCTGTGTAAGAAATGTATCTATGACTCAGTAATTACAACATCATCTGTTTAGATAACCTGTGTGTGTGTGTGTGTGTGTGTGTGTGTGTGTGTGTGTGTGTGTGTGTGTGTGTGTGTGTGTGTGTGTGTGTGTGTGTGTGTGTGTTTCCGCTGCTTGCTATTTCCCCAGTAATAAAACAGGAGGAAAAGAGTTACGATTTTATGATGATCATTAAAGCAGGGTTTCAATGATAATTGTGTTCAGAAGCTAAAGTGACAAAAATATATTAATTGGATCTAAATCCAAATGAAACAAGACATTAATCAATCAAACAAACAGATTTAGGCATGACGTTTTTTTTATCAGCACATACAAACAACCAAAAGACCAACATTGATTTTAGACATAGAGACGACATACTGAAGCCAAACATAAATACTGACATTCTAAAGTAATGTACCAGTTCCCCTCCAAAAATCACATTTAATGAACAGACATTGTTGTGGATACATGATTTGATCAAAACATATCTACATTATCTTCATTTACATATGAACCGATGTGAAGACACTGCTTGACATGTCGAATATAAATCAATGTGATTCAAACTTCAATAAATACCAGCTCCCATTGAAATCAAACATAATCTCAAGAAACGCAATACCTCACTTATTAAAAGTTAACATTTGATCGCGCCAGGTTCCGAGTGTTTACACAAAGCCAGTCGAATCCGGAAATCAAAGCTCCATTCAGTTTCTCCATAAGGAAGTCATTGATATTTAAGTATAATTTATAAACCGTGAAGTTTTTGTGCTGGAAAACTACATTACCCATGATGCTATGCAAAAATCTGCCTACTCTCAATTTTAAATGTTGTTTCTATGAAAAACAAATGTTACGTCCCAATTGGCGTACTTTAACTACGAGTGTGTAACAGAAGAATATGCAAGCATTGGGACGTACTACTTCCTTGGTACCAGATCATTACGTTGCTTAATTACGTCCCGCGTCAATCATCGCGACACATCATCCACATTTCTTTCATATTTAATTATTGGAGATTCAGCTGTGGGTTAATCTGCCATTCACAAGTCTTTCATGCAGAGAAAATCTCCTCGGGTCTTTGGATAACTATACATTTAGAAGTTAACGTTCAAACATATCTTGATATTAGTTCACCTTGTTGTTGCTGGTAAAATACAATGCAGAAAACACGATTTAAATATTCTCCAGTGGGCTAGATATTATTTAATAGTCTAAACAACTTTACCGAAGCCTCTCTTTAATGACACTTTTTAACCCGAGTTGGAAGTTCTAATTAAATTTACGTCTAATGCGTAATGTATTGTGGGCAATATCAGCACTTAGAGTATGGACACTTCTACACTTCCAAATTCTACCGTAAATAGTCGACCATATGGGAAGCTTTGGCATACTCTTTTCAACATACTGTGGTTTGAGACATACTAATTCTATTTACGAAAACTATTTAGGATGAATATTATGCGAATTGGGACGCACCAAAAAACTTTAGTTCGTTTAACTTCATATTAATTTAGTGGTGTTAGTGAGGTCAGCAGGGGGCGCTCAACCTGCGATCTGTGTGACTCCTAACACCCCAGCATACCGAAGGGGACTCTATACTGCCAAGTGAGCGCCGTCTTTCGAATGAGTCGTTAAACTGCGGTCCTGACTCTCTGTGGTCGTTAAACATCTCACGATGTTAATATATAAAGGCATCATGGAACTGTAGATATGTATTATTTTTATATTTATGCCAACCATTTTTTCAACGTTTGTGATTTTCGTAGCTGGAAAGTTTAGTTCACGGCTTCTCACAGGTTTTAAAATCTGCAGAAGCATACGTTGCAGAGACTTTTATTTTAGTATGTTGATGTGCTTTACAAGTAAACCTGAATATTAAGTAGGGGGTGGGACTTTCTTTGCTTTAAGAAATCGCATACTTCCATACTATTTAATACGCTAAAATCAGTATCCGAGCCAAGTAGCATGCCCAAATTCATAAAATTCGAAAAACAGTATGTGAGAAGTAGCCAGATGACCTACTACTTTTTTTGAAGTGTGCATCTGATGGACGCTACCCCATGATGCGTCACGAGAGAATTCATGAATAGGAGACAACTGACGTGGGTAATTCATGTGATGATGACAAAATGACGGATGTAGTACGTCCAAGTTCCATTCATGCTACTGACATTCATACTGTATAGAACATACTTTTCTAACGTACGAGTAGTTTGTTTAAATTCAAATGCAGTATCGACTGAGCAGTAGGTGATTTCGGAGGCAGCGTTTGATTGAAGATTACTAAAACAAATATTTGTTTTTTCGGTGGATTAACTTGCACAGATTATTCGTTCACCTAAAGAATAACAATGTGCGCTCGCAAAATAAACGTTGTAAATTTTGATTTACATTGACTTAAAACTCCTTATCGTAAAAATGAATGGAAAAAAAAATATGTCCGGAATGACTTCATAGGGGAATTCAACAGCAGTAGCACATCAAGTAATAAAAAGTCCTTCATGGAAATGACACACAAAGCAGCACCGCAGTACTGTAAAACATTAAAGTGTGTCAGACGTTCACGTTTAAAGTCCGTTTATATCTAGACTTTATCACAATCAAACATGTCATAAAAAGCAGAGAGAGGGTGTCTGTTTAACACTTCATCGACACTTCCTTCTCAATGCTCCCAGTAATACAGATCAAAGCAGATAAGTACAAATATTCATTGGAGTGTCGGCCAAAAACAAATAATAATAATTTTGAGTTGTAAATTTTCACATTTGTACAGTATTCAGAGACCTTCCATGTTGATCACTTTCATCCATCATGTCACTGCAGAATCATTCAAGTATTGAAATATTAAGAGCAGAAAAACATGCAGATTAATCATAACACTAACCTACCTAACATTGATTTTATTGTTATTTACATTTGCTAGCATTGAACTAGCTTTAAAAAAAAAAAACTTATTCCTGGCCTCTTCTACCTTACGAAGCTAGCGATACGTAACATTGACAGTATGACATTGACAGTACAATACAGACAGTAATTATTAATATTAACTTATTTGCAAACACCCAATCTTACGAGTAAACGTAGCGATTTTACGCATTATCAGAGAAGTGGCTATTCATTCATTCATTTTCGGCTTAGTCCCTTTATTATTCCAGGGTCGCCACAGCAGAATGAACGTTTTACGCAGTGGGTGCCCTCCCAGCCGCAACCCATCTCTGGGAAGCATCCACACACACTCATTCACTATGCACTATTTAGCCTAGCCAATTCGAGAAGTGGCTAATTCATACAACTTTATTTGTATGAAAACTTTAAATTTTTCATAACCCTTTATTGGGGGATGAGCAAATAAATACTAAAATATACAAATGAGATGATACAAATGAATAGGAATTAGCCACTTAATCAAAACGTTTAAATTGCACTGATGATGATATTATCGAACTATATCATAACGTTAACAAAAACACATACAGATTAGAGGCAATTTGACTAATATATATATATATATATATATATATATATATATGTATATATATACATATGTATTGGATGGATGGCATTCTATAGCTTCATATTATGTGGTGTCGCAAAAAAAAATAAAACACATCATTGGACAGTAATATTTTGGCATTATTTGTATGAGCGCAGTCTTACACGCCACCATGGTGATGCCGAGAATAGCATGTACAACAGCCGGGCGGTGTAAGTACAATATTTACATTGATCAATATTTAATGTTGGGCATGTTTTCATTTTAAAAGTGTTTTAAATTCACTAATAGTTCTGCATTCTTAAACATTTGCGACGAATGAGCACATTTTTATGTATTAACTTTCATAAAGTAAAAAAATTGTTCTCATTTGGTCAATATATAAACTATATATTTACTGAAAATTACGATATTGTGAAATATATAACGTTTTCAGAGTTGACGTATATCGTGATATGAGATCTTTGTTATATCTCCCAGCCCTAATACAGGGATATCTTTGCCCATTATAGCTATATGTAGTCATTAAACAAAGTTTCAACATTCATTTTGCAGCTTTTCTAATACACTGATGTCATTTAGACTGAAAAATCATAATTTCAGTGGCATTTAATATCGTTCGTGCACAGAGTGATATGTAAACTTAACATGGCCTGTTTTTAATGAGCTGAATGCTCTGAAAATCATTTATAAGAGCTCTGAGTGAACTTTCTAGGCACTCGGTTCTGTTTATTCATGTCACCTGTGCCTTGTTTGTTTCTCCTATACACATGCATTACATTTAGACTTTAAATAAAGATACATCCAATCACATTATCAAGGGTTTTGGATCCGAGTAACTCCAGTAAGAACATGAACAGCTGATCTACTCCTAACAAAACTAGCCAGCCTGCTAGCTTAAATATATTAGCCTATTTACTTCTATGTGAAGTTTGATATATGAAACAACAGAGAGAAACACACTATAGTTCCCTTCAACCCGCATGGACTACATACATTTGAAATGCAGTTTTTCTGGTTAAAATAAAAAATAAAAACAAACATTATAAACCCCACCACAATCGTTTCCTTTGTCAATAAATACGTCTTGCTTTTAATTGTTGGACCATAGTTTCTTCTGAACAGCATCCAGCGTTAAGGTTACGTCCAGGAAGAGGACAACACTTCTGCTGTGTTGAACGTCCGGCCACTAGAGCACCATTCTGGATTGTTCCTACAGCACAAGAAAACCAATGCACAAATGCCCCAGAATTCCTTTAGAGTTCTGTCTTTTGATCACAGCTCTATAATTTAGCAGCCGTCGTGCTTTTGGGAGGCAGCCATTTGAATTTATAGCGCTCGCGTGGCTTCATCAAATCTAAATCCATCATCTTTTGCTCCTTCTCACTGTCCACCGTCGAATATCCCAGCAGGGACATGGCTCCTTTACAAACATCCTGGATACGCTGTACTTTCTCGAACGGTAACGTGGTTCGCCAAGCCATCGAAACATCCTCGGCGTTTCGCGAAGTGATATCGAATGCTTCCTTCTTGGTTCCCTTGCCTTTACCGTGAGTGATGCGGTAGATCC